AGATGGTTCTCACGAGAATCCAGCATACTTTATTTTACTGGATCGATTTTCACGTAGCTCGACCTGTAAGTAATGTACAAATGAAGACGAAATCATAAATGAAATTCCTAAACCTGTACATGCCACTGAAAGTCTCTTAGGGGCTTCGAGGAAGACTAATTTCACAAGATGAGTATAAATTCCATCCGATAAGTCGTTACTCGAGCAGCCAGTTAGTGTGTGACCACATGGTGTGCCCGCTGTGGCAGAACGGTGAGTGGCGCTATATCCTGTCCAAATACGAACTAATCACACTGCTGGTAAGACGCTTGTGGCCGATCGGCGTTCGGATAGTGTTCAAACTACTGACTAGGAGGTTGAGGGTTTAAGATTTCCTGAAATTTTGAGAGATGCGCACTGCTGACAGTCCCCACTAAAATGAAACACCTATACAGTACTGGTTGTTTTCACATACAGGACGAAATCTCAGCTGAACTATTGTTGTAAGCAAAATTTGTCAGCGCCACGTATGAAAACGCCAGGATTATAAAACGGTGAATTAGGGTATCCAACGTGATTCTCACCGTATACCGGTAACATACTCAATACAGTTGGTGCTAACTTGACTTCCTCATGTTAATCTCAATTATTTAGCTAACGCCAATTGCTTTTTTAGGCAGTCGAATAAGTTCGAGCATCAGTATCCCTCATCAGGCACCGATGCGGTCTAGACAGCGGAAATGCTCGCATAAATGCAGATTGTACAAAAGCTGACGGACACCTTTCAGTCCTAGCCCAGGTTCATGTGTTTAATTGCTCCTATTTCACTCTACAAAAATGACTGAACCTACAAATGATTTGTGACCACCATGATACCGAAAATGTTTATTTGATTGAGAACAAATCAAAGCAGACCATAACTGTGTATTTCGCATTTAGGTGATATTTTCGTCCACTCGGTTCATCACGTCACGTGTGCGATTCGTCCGAATTTGAGCCGATAAACATGGGTCATCAGCTGGTCATTCCGATGTTGATAAAACTTACTTCTCTTTCTCTCACTATGATTCCCTAGGGTTTTATCATCACGCTGGACCCGCAAAACGAGACTGCTACTGAAGTAACCGTTTTTAACAAGCCCACACCAGCAGCGCCTGATTCTCCTAGCACTGGTGCCACTGCAGGTCCCAACCCAAGGCTTGGAAGCTCGGCTCCAATCGCACTACCCTCAGTGGCGACTTTTGTGCTTCTGTTTGCACCAACACACTGAAATCTATCGATATTAATTTTCGAATCCCAAAGCCCGGTCTGTTTGACTGCTTTTAATGTCCACATTCTAAAGTAAGCAGGACAACAAGTTCCTTCTTTTCGTAGGGCGGATTTCTTCCGCCGTGGGAC